GAGATCATGACCTGGGCTGAAGTCGGACACCGAACCGACTGAGCCACCCAGGCGCCCCAACCAGATATTTTTACTCTGTATTGGAGCTCAGTGTTATGGCACAGCCATATTTGTGACCATGTGGTTGAAACTATGAGGCGACAGAGAGTCTGTTCTCCTTTTGCTTCACAAAAAGATGAGAAAATCACGGTTGTGCTTCCAGGCACAGGACACGTCCATTTCCAAGTGTGCTCCTGAATCAGGACCCCAGGCACATAAGGGTTGTAGTCTGTCATCCACAGGAAATCACCCTGTGCGGCAAAGTGAGACACTAACATAGAAAAGGAAGAAATTGGCAATAAAACAGAGAAAGAGAGAGAGAGAGACCAGAAAGGAAGTAACTTAGTGAATGCAAGTTAAAACTCGAAAAAGTAAAATGTCTTTTGAGCATGAAAGGAATAGGTATGATGATATTCACCCCCCGACTCCCACAACCCTCTATTTACTAGTCTGCACAGCCACCGTCCTCACACCCTCTGCTCGTCTAACTTCCGTGGGTTTCCTTGTGCTGGAGAAGATAAGGTTTGAGGGCCAGGCGGGTGAAGGAGCTTCAGTGACAGGCTGACTCTGTCCTTCCTCCCGGAGCAGAGGGAAGCAGAAGGGTTGACAAGAAGTTTGCAAGTGCGGAGGGGCTGGTGGAAAGGCCTCTGCTACAGCACAGACGTGAGGTGATCCAGCCGAACCCGAGAGATGGGGACAGGAACAGAGAAGCGGGGACTGACATCGAGTCCTTGAAGGAAACGTTCACTGAGCACGACGACTAGTTAGACCCAGGATGAGTGAGAGGAAGGCAGCATTAAACACGGCAGCAAGGTCCGAGCAGAAACGCAGCGAAGAAAGCTGAGTGGAGAAGTGGGAGAAACTCCCTGGGAACTGGGAGCATCTGCAGACCCGGAGGACGTGCACAGCTAGTGGAGCTCAGGACTCCCGGCAGGACAGGAGATGAGAAGGCAGAAGCTCCAAACACAGAACAACGAAGCAACACTAAGTTTGGGGGGAGGGCGTCTGGATAAAACCGGTCCCCGTGAATATTCTAATCCCGGTGTTCCCCAATCGCCCCCCCCCCACCACCCCCCGCCACGCACACATACAGAAGCTTTGGGGCCAATGGCCTAAAGAATGAAATCTAAGCTTTCAGGGCGGATTGTTCTTTCCCTCTTTCTCCACCCATGGCACTACTCCAAGGCCAATTTCAGTGCCAAGTCTCCTGTGAAGCCTTTCCTCTTCACCCTCACCCAGGTTGATTGTACCTAGTTAGCTTTAAGGCTAGTTAGCTCTAACCGGTGGCTAACCGACAAAATGGAATTACAGAGATGGGAGGAGGCAGGAGAAGAACAGGAAGAGTGTGAATGCCCGCTGGAAAGTGTAAGAGAACAAAATCAATTGACGTTTAGCTCTGCTCTCCTGTTTCCTAAGGATTCCTACAACAAACCCCCAAGAAGGGGAACACAGACCATCATTTAAACAAAAAACAACCAAGTGCAATCGAGTTAAATGATCTGTCCAAATCCTGTAACTGGTAACACCAAGAGTTGAACCTCTTCGTTCATTCATGTGTGTATTCATTTATTCATTCATTCAATAAATATTTATTGGTGCCAGGTCCTGTGGCACTGTTTCAAGCATGGGATAGGGGCTGAAGAACACAGCTGTGGATCATACATAGCCTTATTCTAGTGGGACAGACAGGAAATCAAGAAGTAAATGTATAATAGAATGTTACAAAGTGACACTGCTACGGAGAAACAGGGAGCAGCGGGTGACACTGAGGAGGAAGGGTTCCCCACTAGATGGAGTAGTCAGACATTCTGTACTCTGAGCCCTGAGCTCAGCCCTCTGTTCCTCTTCATGCTGACAGAGTTGATGGTCACGAAATGTATACCTCCGTCTCATTTCAAATGCTGCCCAGGGCTTGGCATGTGCACCCCTGAGCACCAGAACCATTCATCACAAGATCACCCTCCACCCACACCAGGCTGTAGGTAGGTCTCCATAACCTTCCCTAAAGTTGTACTGCCTTACTTAGCTTCCAGTGTAGACGATAAACCCCCTGGAGGCAAGAGCCCCTCGCACAGTTTCCAGTAAGGGTATGCTGGTTATCAGCTTATCAGATTAAATAAAAAGCAACTGGAAGAACTGGAAGACTGTTCCCCTCACTCAATATTCATAAAGGCGACAGTCAGCTCTTTGGAGAGTTCCCCACATCTATAGGACTTTTCCAAAACAAGCCCAGCCTCTCCACCATTCCCTAACCCCCAGGAGCTCCCCTCCTGCACAAACCCTATTGGGTAGCCCCACCCCCAAAAAGCCCCGCTAGAAAACCAGATCAGTCCAGGCTGCAGTAAGTAGGTAGCTGGGTCAGTCTGGGTCATTTTTGCCAACATGGGCCAGGTGACATTGCAGGTGGTGGACAGTGGCAGAGGGGTATGAAGAAACCACAAAATAAGGATGCAGAAGTAGTCCCACTTTACTAAAACCCATCTGAAGTGTTACTGAGTGATAAACCAACTAGACTCAGGGACAAAAACAAATGAGTTCAACCACTCTGAGCTTTCCATCTGATTTCCACAAACATCTCAGTCATGTGTTGTTGTTGTTTATTTATTTACAGCACCATTAAACATCTTTCACTTTTACAGGTATGTGTATGTGCATACATTACTGGGGGAGTTCACATGCAATTAGTAATGCGCTATTTAAACTTGACATCTTCAAGTCTGAATAGTTCCCACAAATGTGACAATTACACTTTGGCAAAATCGCCTGTGAGGACAGAAGGAAGACTTCAAGCAACAAAACTCCATAATACTGTAACATAACTTCGGACCTCCTAGAAGGGTCACTCTCCCTCGAAAACCATCATCCTTCCTGGATTATCCCCGCTAGACAGCAGGTTCATCGCCTCTGACCTGGCTTTGTACCAGGAGGAGACATCCAGCAATATCGATCCATTCAGCGATATTCAAAAACGTTCCATGTAAACAAAAAGGTCCAGAATAAAACACCTGAGAAGAGACGCTCCTGAACATGACACATAATGCATTAGCTAATCTCCAAATTCATAAGAACATTTAGATTACGGTGAGGATTAGGGTCTGATGCAATTTCCATTTGCGCCACGGTTTCCCGATTCAATAACTTCATTCCTACCTGCGACGACTCACGTGCAAATACACTCAGAAGCACAAATAAGTAACAAACGATCAGGTGAACAGCAGAGTTATAAAACAGGCATAATCATTATTCAGTCTAAATTCAAAACCCAAATCAGGTCATGTTTCCTCATTATTTTTCTGGCACAGTCTTTTTTTGTAGTCTTTAACTGTAATGGTGTAAAGATACATTTAAAAGCAGGAAATATATTTTGTCCTCCTGGGAAATGCGGTAGGATTTGGCAAAGGATTCGGTTAACCACAAATAATACAGATCTTTTTTTTTTTAACATCTGAACTTGTCCTTAGCACCAAGATGAACTGCTTGTCCTAGAACCAATAAAAGACATATCATCAAGTTTAAAACTGATAGAGAATTAATTAAACACCTTAGCCCCAACAATCAATCATACCAGTATTTTCTGGTCTCCTTTTGTAGTTCTATCATCAAACTGAAGACATTCATGAGTTGAAGAGGTCATGACAGAATAGTGACAGCAAATGCTTTTTTCTTCATTTCCTTCACTGTTCTATTGACTGACCTGTATAATCAGATTTGTAAGGCCTTTTTTCCCCCAAACTATATCTTTTTAAATGTTCAAAATTCCTATGCAGAGATAACTGTAATTTTGATGAGCAGTTTGATCTCACCTTTAAAAATATTTTTTTAAGTTTATTTATTTTGAGAAAGAGAGATAGCATGAACAGGGGAGGGGCAGGGAGAGAGAGAGGGAGAGAGAATCCTAAGCAGGCCCCACACTGTCAGCACAGAGCCCAATGCAGGGCTTGAACTCAAGAACCATGAGATCATGACCTGAGCTGAAATCAAGAGTTGGACGCTTAACCAACTGAGACACCCAGCCTAAAATTCATTTTTTAAAGAATGAATTCTGCAGCACTGATACTATTAAAATGAATACAGGGCTCTCGAAGGACTTTTGTCAGCAATAACTCACACCTACCCTTAGTTTAAGTCAGTAACTCAGAAATAGAGACAAATTTGCCCCCAGGGGCTGTAGCAATGCCTGGAGACCCACAGAGGACACTCTAGACTTTCAAAAAATTATTTTCATTTCAAAAAAAAAAAAAAAAGAAGGAAAGATTTCTGGAATGAACCTACGCACACAGGAACACTAGAAAGTGAAATGACAGCATTTTTCTAATCCCAGAGGAAAACAGTGTTGGGTAAAGCCACTGTTCAGCAGGCCCTAGAGCCACCAGGCAAGACTGACTGAACGAGAAGAAAGTTCCTGCATTTCCTTGGGAGACTTGAAATGCAGGACAACTAAAGAGAGAGTAAAACTCAAGTAAAAATATCGTACTGCAGGCATCACGATGACAGAGGATGTCACGATAACTGCCTGAGATGACAGAGGAAACCACTTAACCCCATACAAAAATATTGCACTGAATGAGCTTGTTTGAACTCATTAAATGTACTCTAGCTGTCTTAAAAGGGATTATTTCACAATGACTCTACTCCATAATGCGGTATGTGATTAAGTGGTCGTCAAGCTACCTCTGCGGTAAATTTGTTACATTTAAATTTAGTGCCTTTTCCTTTCCTAAAAAATACTTTAGAGAGTAGAGAACGTTATCTGGATGTAAACTAGTCTGCATTTCTTTAGCCAGGGGCACAGAAACTAGAAAATTATAATCTTTTCCTTCTAATAAAAAGCAGAATGATGGGAACCAATTGGAAGTGAGGGACAAACTTCCTCTTTGGCTCCAGTCAAGGCATCTCAACCAACATCTGTCTAGATTTTGGTCCACTTATCACCGTGGTGAGTTTCAAAGAGAATCCCCTGGTTTTTTTGTGAGTGCATGCCATACTTTTAAGATTAAAGATAAAAATGTTGTCTTATATTTTACCCCTCTTTTGGCTATACACTATCTATAGACTAGTCCAACAAACTCCTAGGGACAAAAACGTATTCGACTAATTCATGGCCAATTTAAACTCAGATAATAAATTTTCAAGGAATGAAAAAAAATTCTTATCCTACTGATCACAGATGCTTACTTATTTCAGCCTAAGAATGAACACTAAGACATTTGTTTAAACGGCATTAATGCTGAAAAATGTGGGTGCTTTTTGCGTTACCAACCCAGGATTTCTGTTGGAGTACCACACAGATTTACAACAGGACTCTGTGTCTAGAGCCTAAGAGATGATCGTTGTCAATTTTGCAACCCATTGGGGTCTCTCTCTACACATAGACTTTTCCATGAAGTTACTAGTTGGCAACTCTACTAAATACTTTAAAATATGTCTAATGGAAGAAAAGTCAATCCAGCTTATTTTTGGCAGGAAGGAATACTCAGTATCATATATTATTCTCTCCCAGAAATATCCATTTTCTCCTGATAAATGCTACATATATCCACATGATCATATAAAAGAAGACTCAAAGGAAATTTGGACAAATAAGTCATTAAGCAATAAATGAAAACAATCCCAACTGGACTGATTCTACAAGACAGAATGTAAGTATTGTGTCATACTTCAGGAAGTAGAAATATTCCCACACTTCCAAATGAAAAAAAAAAAAAAAGCATTTGTGTATTAAACATTTGAAGCACCCTATAGTTGTAGTTCAGTTCACAGCAGAAAGTAAACACTAGTTTTCTCTCCACCCTGCAAAATGAAGAGGTAGTCAGGAAGCATTTTCTTCCTGTCTTCCCCCAATAACCTCTCCTTCCTTTGATGTTCTGAGACTATTTTCTACTTTAGTAGGTATTCATTTTGCATTTATTTGAAAACAAGTCAAAGAACAAAAATTCTGCAGTGACAAGACTACCCAACCTTCCTCTTTTATGATCTTATGATGGAATGAAAAAAACATTAGCTAACATGGTTCTTTAGTTTTTTCGATGTACTTGGCTATGAGCTCACCTGAGAGTCAGCCACAAAATCTAATCACTTTAAAACAAAAACTACTTTGAATCCTGTGTCCACAGCCATTGAGTCCCAGCCTTCAATGTCCCTGATACGTATGCTGGCATGGTTTGCTTTTTGAAATAAATGTTCAAACTAAAACAGTGAGTTTGTTGAAGAGCAGCATGAGATACCCAGGACGACGTAAAGGAGTTCACAGTCACATAAAAATTAACAGACACGTGCAATTAACATCCCAAACAACCAGCCCGTTGATGAACACAGAGCATGCACACCATGAATTTGACCAGTGCCTACAGCCCACAGAGGTCCTTCCACAAGCCCGAACACCTCGTCTATACTGTCTGTGTACGTCAGGACAAGATTAAAAATGTGTGCTGTTGACATAATGTTGGTCCTCCTGAGTTTTGCTCAGAGCTTGTCCATGGTCACTCAGACAGCTGTCCAAAGATACTTCAATAGCCACTTCTCTTGTTACTTGTCCACGGAGACCATCACTTGGGTACGTGTCCAGAGGGGGACAGCCATTGTGCTCTGCGCAGCCATTGACGTGGGCCAGAGGCAGGGCCCCGGGCGGGCAGCACAGCTGTTTCTCACAGCCCTTGGAGATGCAGGGTGAACTACAGAGCAACAGCAGATCCTTCTGCTCCATGGTCTCCTTCAAGTCCACGTGCTCAAACTGGATGGTCACATTGTGGATTCCCGCATTGTGGAAGATTTCTCGAATTTTCATACTGGCATCCTGATAGCCCCTGTCCTTCCGATACTTGATGTGCAGGGTGGCGATGATCTTTCCACTTATAAGCTCCCAGATGTGCACTTCATGTACACTGCTAACCCCGGGCACGGCCGAGAGTTTACTCACTAGAACAGAGGAGAGCAGACAAACACTAAGGCGCGTACTGTAGTGGAAACATGCATGGCACCCACCACAGGAGGGACGTGGGCCCTGGAAGCATTCTCAGCACTCCGATGTATTTCAAAAACACAAAGAAAAATAGCTGGACCTGGACGGGTACGTTTTCTAGTAATCTTCTTTCTCCATTCAGAATCCCTGTACCATCCCTCATCAGCCCATAAGAGGTAATTCAAGAAAGTAAGTTTGAGCACTGGGTGTTGTATGGAAACCAATTTGACAATAAATTTCATATATTAAAAAAAAAAAAGAAAGAAAGAAAGAAAGTAAGTTTAACAACAACCCCCCAAATCCCCAAGGTTGTTGAGTTTACCAGGGAATAGACATCCACATGGGCTGTGTTGGGAGCGTGAAGCAGGATGCCTTTCTGAAAGGGGAGAACTTGGCAATAGGGACCAAAAACTTCTCCAGCATCCCTGGCGCCAGGAATTTAACCTAAAGGGAAATACCCAAATGTTCACGCACAAAAATGAGTTGAGCGATGCTCTTTGCATTAATGAAGAAACGGAAACAAGGGAAGAGTTAAATCGGTTATATAAAATATGATACAGCCATTAACAAGTAAGGTGCATATTTAAGGATATGAGAAAAGGCATATAAGCTATCCGTAAGTGAAAAAAAACAAATAGTTTTACTGTGCATATGGCATATTTCTTCTTTCTTTCTTTCTTTCTTTCTTTCTTTCACAAACATCAGTGTGTACACACACACACACACACACACACACACACACACACACACACAAAACCACAAATTTTTTAAACAGTAAGCTTCACACCTAGCACAGAACCCAGTGCGGGGCTTGAACTAATGACCCAGAGATCAAGACCCAAGCTGAAAACAAGAATTGAACGCTTAACTGAGCCACCCAGGTGACCCCCCACACACAAAAATCTTATGCAGATAAAGCTTGTTTTATTGAATGATTGATACAAGATATTAAAAGTGGTAGTTTCTGGGTAGCAGGATTACGAGAGATTTCTAGCTTCATACTTAGGCTCTTCCATGTTGTCCATACTTTCTCAAATGAGCACGTATATAGAGAAATGGTTTTGAAGACGGATTATGAGCAAAGACCCTGTAGCCAGCTAGGGTTTGAATCCCAGTGTAGTCATGACCGTGGGTAATTTACCTAGCCCCCAGTGCCTCAGTGTCCTTATCTATAAATTAGGAATAATAATGATAGAACCGCATAGGTTTACTTTAAGAATTCAAATGGGGGCGCCTGGGTGGCTCAGCCGGTTAAGTGCCCGACTTCGGCTCAGGTCATGATCTCACAGTCCGTGAGTTCGAGCCCTGCGTCGGGCTCTGTGCTGACAGCTCAGAGCCTGGAACCTGCTTCAGATTCTGTGTCTCCCTCGCTCTCTGACCCTTCCCCATTCATGCTCTGTCTCTCTTTGTCTCAAAAATAAATAAACATTAAAAAAAAAGAAGAATTAAAATGAGTGAATAGAAAGCACTTAGAACATTACCTAGCATGTATTAAGTGCCTTACAAGTGTGTTATTGTTATTACCATATTTTTAAATTTTTTTTTAAATATGTTATTTATTTTCGAGAGAGAGGGCACGAGCAGGGGAAGTGCCAAGAAGGGAAGAGACAGAGACCCGAAGCATGTCCTGTCCCGACAGCAGAGAGCCCAATGCAGGGGTCGAACTCACGAACTGTGAGATCATGACCTGAGCTGAAATCAGACGCTCAATTGACTGAGCCACCCAGGCATCCCATTACTATCTAATTTTTAAAAATGTGTTTAAGAAATATATAAATATATATATATATATATATATATATATATCATTATATGTCACTATATATCACAAATTGGTTTTGATATGTGTATCTTTTTCTTCAACTGGAAAACAAGCTTCTAGAAAGTAGAGACGATGCTGTGTATCTGTGTCTGGGTATCTCCTTCCCCATCTCCTACTTCCTCTGCCTGTGGCATCGGGCAAATAGTAGGTTGCAGGAAATGAAGCCTGACTATTTTAATTCTGCAGTAAAGCAGCCAGAGAGTTGACCGCACCTACCAACTCTGAGACTATAAACCAACAATGGTGCCAAAGAGGCCCCCAAAGGCAGAAAGAACATCCAGGAGAAAAGACTGCAGGAGAAGCTCCAGCTATTAGCAATGGCGCAACCAACTGGTCCCAACACACGCTATTAAACGTGGGTTTGGCAGGGCTATGGCCCTCATCAGACAGTCACACTGCAAATCACACCTTCTTTCATAGAGGAAAACCTAGCCATGGCCATAAAATGTATTAAGACCCATTCAAACCTCATTTCAGGAGCTTCTCATGAAGTAAGGTCTTCTAAGAGGCCTGGGCTCTATCTCAAGTTTACGGGCTCACTGGTGGGGCAGTGAGTGTATAACACAAATATGCACGAAAAATGTTTTTTTTACAAAAACATAATCCCGTTTAGAAACACTAGAGATGAAGTTGCAAATTCAGTTTCTCACCAACATCTGGATAGTTCCCATTTAGAAATTCTGCCAAGTCTTTAAAATACGTATCCTCAGATACACATAACTAAGAGGAGAGTTTGACCTTCTGTTTGAGCAAAGCAAAGAAACAGATTTCATTACTGAATGAGGTCATGAATTCAGGTTAAAACATGAAATACGGTCCTTTTTACAGCGTTACAAGAGACCCGGTGACTTGCATGCCCATAAAAATCAATTAAATAGAATGCAAGATCTAGAATATAAAGGAATGATTTATGTTTTCAGAATAAGGAGAGTAAAAATCAAGTTCTTGGCAGGGTAGCCTTCTTTGCATTCAATCTTTGACATGAAGGTAAAAGCTGAGGAATAGTTACTGCCCAAGCACCATATTCTCAAAAACTTGCAGCTGAGTCAGAGCGCCATGAGTCGTAAAGGACCTTTGGTTCTTGGAGCTGTGAGTCATCTTACTAGGCTACAAAACATATGATGGATGTCTCTATTGCTTGGTGATTTGAAGTATTTCAGGATACATAAATCAAACACTGCTCTGAAATGATGCTGGCCCTTTGGCCTGAAGAACATCAAATGGGCATGGTTCTAGATAAGAATCATCTGACTTACTCAGCTCCTCCATGTTGACTCCTTTGGGGACCATCTGCAGCAGAATGGCAGCAGTCTCCTTGATGAGTGGGAAGGCAGATGACAAAATGATGGCGACCATGATGACGGTCAGGCTGGGGTCTATGTAGCACTGCCAGTTACATGGGTCCTCGCCTTTCAGGGGACGCACGTAGAATATGATGGCCGTGACCACCACAACCACTGACCCCAGGGCGTCGCCCATCACATGCAAAAGGACACCTGCCAGGAAGAAAGGAAGACCAATGAAGCACAGATCCAAATTTGGGGGCCATGTGACACTCAGGGACCTGGGTTCCCAAATCTATGAATACCAGGTGCTATTTGCTTTCTTTTTTGGTTAGAACAGCAGGATGGGTTTGAATGGAAAAAAAAAGAAAGGAAGGGCAACTACTTCACAGGAAACAAAACCCTAGGCCACCATCCCAGGACCCAGAGAACCTGGAACAGTCTAGGAAGAATCCGAGGCGCACGCACATCTGGGGAGAGGGCGAGAGGGACTGTGCTTGTTCATAGTGCTACATCATGGCCATCTGTCACCCATCAGAAGGCACCGAGCTGGCAAACAGAGGCTGTGCAAATGGTTTCTTGTTCTTTCAGACAAGTATCTGTGATTTAAATTGTTTTAAACATTTTTAAGAGGAAAGGGAACAAAGATATATCACGAAAATGGTTCCTTTTATTCCTTGTCTTGCCTCTCCCTTCATCCATTTTCTCCCTTCCCTACATGACTTTGCCTACTGCTCACTTAGCCAGGGTCCTTCAAACTGGATCTGGTTCAGGAGATCCTTAGGAAGACCCTCCAGCAAGGGCACCTGGGTGGCTCAGTCGGTTAAGCACCAGACTCTTGGATTCACCTCAGGTCATGATCTCTTAGCTTCATGGGTTCAAGCCCTGCATTGGGCTCTGTGCTGACAGCATGGTTCCTGCTTGGGATTCTCTCCCTCCCTCTCTTTCTGCCCCTTCCCGACGCGTGCTGTCTCTGTCTCTCTCAAAATAAAAAAAAAATTTTTTAAAAAGGGGCATCTAGGGCGCCTGGGTGGCGCAGTCGGTTAAGCGTCCGACTTCAGCCAGGTCACGACCTCACGGTCCGTGAGTTCGAGCCCCGCGTCAGGCTCTGGGCTGATGGCTCAGAGCCTGGAGCCTGTTTCCGATTCTGTGTCTCCCTCTCTCTGCCCCTCCCCCGTTCATGCTCTGTCTCTCTCTGTCCCAAAAATAAATAAACGTTGAAAAAAAAAAATTTAAAAAAAACAAAAAAAAAATAAAAAGGGGCATCTAAAAAAATAAAAAATAAATAAAAATTAAAGTAAAAAATAAAAAAGGGGCACCTGGATGACTCAGTCAGTTGCGCATCTGACTTCAGCTCAAGTCAAGTTCTCGTGGTTCGTGGGTTCGAGCCCTAGAGGCATACCATGTACGCACTCAAGAAAACACTATTTTCTGGTTGGTCAGTCATAACTCCCATGACATAGAGTAACTTCTGTCTTTTACTTAATAATAATTGTAATGCTGGCTAACATATATGCATCAGATGCTACTGTAAGTATATTACACATCTTTACATATTAAGTCCATTTAAGGACCCTCTTAAGTGGTTATTCTCTCCATTTTACAAATGAGGAAACTGAGGCATGGAGTAGCTACATAACTTAGCCAAAATCACACAACTAGAAAGTGTTAGAGTGGGGATAGAAGTCTGGGTAGTCTGACGAGAGAACCAGTATGCATCCTGTCTCATATAACTCTTGCATTTCAATTCCGGGTTTTCCTTCTAAGAAATTTCACTATCGGCTCCTAAAAATTATACAAAATAGCTTTCAAACTTGTCTTTCCCATAATCCATGGTCGGATGCTTAACCAACAGCCACCCAGGAGCCCCCTCCTCTACCCCTGAGGTCTTTCTTACTGGAAAAAAACAATTAGAAAGAAACATCTCATCAAAGGAGACTTATTTTCAAATGATGTTAGGATTGCTGTTCATCTATTCATATTTACAATGAAATACAAAAGCTAATAATCTTCCTGACACTCTGTTACGACAGTTTTTAACGTATCACGTTTGATCCCATTAAATAAAATCAACCACTACGACTGATGAGAATTTTTAAAGGATCGTGCTTTCACTGCTTTGCGGAAGCTGGAGCATGATTCTCAGAAGGCATTTGTTTTTACTCCATTTAAATAAGAGAAACAGTCATGAAAATCTAGAAATGATTTTTGTTCACAAGAATCCTCATCAGTTGGTGTTCCCCTGCAGATCTGGGGTGGGAGGGGTTTCTAAAGAAGTGGTTTAAATGTCAAAAATGTGGGGTGCCTGCACGGCTCAGTGGGTTAAGTGTCCAACTTCAGCCCAGGTCATGATCTTGCAGTTTGTGAGTTCGAGCCCTGCGTCAGGCTCTGCTGACAGCTCAGAGCCTGGAGCTTGCTTCGGGTTCTGTGTCTCCCTCGCTCTCTGCCCCTTCCCTATTCGTGTTCTGTCTCTCTTTTCTCTCTCAAAAATAAATAAGCATTAAAAAATCTTTTTAAATAAATAAATGTGAAAGATGTAACCACTCAGTGGACCATCTACGGTGGTGAAGCAAGCCACTGGGCGTGGGGGTGTACAGGCAGTGTGGGGCACTTGGAAGGGGCAGAAATGTGAAGTAGGAGCCCAGGAAGCCAGGCTTGCCTCCGCTTCGAGCCTGGGTGACTTGGGAAGTCACCAGACTCTCTGGATCCTGTTTCCTTATCTATAAAGTGCACGGGTAGAGTCCACTCCTACTGAGGCCTTTCCAGCTTTCACATTCTATCTGCCTTCTCCGAGTCATGGCTCCAGACGGTTCAGACACAGGCCCGAGGGGAGGCCAGCCTTCCTCATGGCCTGAAGGATGGAAAGTCTCCCGCCAGCCACAGCATGGGCACTGACGGGCACTCACCCTCACCCAAGAGGTGCAGGGGTGAGCCTGGCAACTCCAGCCACTGCCTGAACGACAACAGCTCCCACCTGGTGGGATTCTTACAAGTGCCAAGTGACTCCTTCAAGAACGGGGCCTGGCACAAAGCAGGCACTCCACAAACATGGCGGCTGCTGTTCCTCCCGCATCGTCGCCCAAGCACTTCACAACAGCCTCATGAAGTAGATATTACTATCCTCATTTTAAAGATGAGGGAATTGGAGGCTTCGAGAAGTCCAAACACTTGCCTAATATAGGAGTCAAGACCCCAAACTGAGGCATCTTAAGCCCAAATCCCAATCCTTCAGCCACTGCATCATTCACCCCTGTCAGAGGCTAGAGGCTCACAGTCCTTGTGGACCACAGGGCTCAGCCACGTACAGCAAGGCACGTCACCTCTGACATCTTTGCACCCAGGATCTCCAACAGCTCTAGACCGAAGATCAGCCACATTATACAAGTTTCCCATACATTATGCTTCCCAAACAAGGTCACGGTATCTATCAGTCCTGCTCGTAATTCTTCGGCATCTTTCCACCTACCTGTTCTCTTTCTCTGCAACATAAGCATGAATAATTAACACAATGCGCTTTGAAAAGTTAACGTGCTATGAAAAACCTATGATATATAATATATAGCATATATTTGATGGATATTATATATATGTGTATATATACATACATACTGAAAATGTCTCCTGGATGATTACTTTTTCTGTATATTATTTCCAACTAAGTCCCATCACAGGCTTCCCCAAATCATCTGAAAGTAAAGGGTTGCATAATCTTTGTGGAAATACTCAAAGTCAAGATCGGGGCTTCTCGAATCACTCTGGAGCCAATTCTCTGCCCAAGAAGGTGAAAGAGAGAAATGCTGGATACAGTGTTGGTGTCTGGGTGAGAAATGCACCCTTGAACTCCCTGACTAACCTTTGCCCAGCAGTACCTGTGACCTTGAGCACATGGTAGAGGGAAGACTAGCAACGTGCCTTCCACGTGCCTCACCAGAACCTCCACTTTGGGCCTGGAAGTAGGGATTCAACTGAGCCAACAAACCCATCCCAGACACAGATTTCTGGCAGAAATAAATGAGGTCCGAGGGTCACTCGGCAATGCCACCTTGGATGCAAGCCACCCACTCCTCTCACCTTTCTCAAAATATATTCAACTGAAATAGGTCGCATTTGACATTAACAATAGCCGGGGGTGGGCAAAATCAAGCAAAGTAATAGCATGCCGCTGATCTGCGAGGCTCTGGAGCAGGTGGCATTAGCATGGCTCTAAGTGGGGCAAAGATAAATCATTAGCGACCAGTGTGTCCCTCAGAATCAATGCAGTGATTAGGCAAGAGATGAGGGTCATAGTCTATTCATGCAACTGGCCTACTTTCTAACACACCTTCTTAAAAGGCAAACAGGAAAGAAGGGCACAGCACTGCACACTCCTTTGACCCAAAAGTAATCCTACCTCTGATATTCAGGGCTTCTGACTTTTTCTCCTTTTTCATAGTCTCTTCTGGCTCATTCTGGGTGTTCAGAGAGTCACCTGCATTCAAAGAAGAAACCTTGTGTTGTGTATAAGTTCTACAAACAAAAAGAACCAATGGACTCAAAAAAGAGTTTTTGTTATTTTAAACTCCCACTAGCTCATCAGACCCCCTACCTCTCCCCACCCCCCAAACACACACGCACACATATACCAGAATGGTACATTTTGGCCTTGACATCAGCCTTCATTCACACTCCTATTCAAGTTAAAAAAAAAAAAAAAAAAAAGAGGCAAGTGGGAGCCCACCCCCATCCCCAAACCCGGTAACCCCCAGGGGGACAGAAGGATGGGCAAAAGGGGAGGGAGAAAACAAAGTGCAGGCAGCATCTAAGGAAGGGGCAGGGTTTGGGGAGTGTTATCTCTTGCCCAATGATAACGGATTTTCAAGACAATCAATACTCCAAAGCAGATAGAATAAGGGGAAGGGGAAAGAGGCCAAAAAAGAAAAAAAAAAAACAACAACTGGGGAATACGATAAGTTAGACGCAGAGAATTAAAGCCGGGCTGCAGAGGAAGGGAATTTAAAAAAAAACAAAAACAAAAAAAACACACACAAAAAAAAACAAAAAACATGGAAGCAGCATCCGCAGCCAAGCCAGAAGAAGAGGGCGTGAATGCGGAGGAAGGGACGCGCGGGAGGAGGGAAAGGCAGAGAGGTGCGGAGGATGCAACCGAAAGGCACCTGCTACGTTGGAGAACACCGTCGCCCCCCGCTCCTCCTTCCGGTCCGCCGAGGCCGCGCCGCGCGGGGACTGGCCGGGGCCGGGGG